AACTCCAGGAACACGAACCGTCAAGGAGGCCTCATATTCTTGAGAACTGCACAGTGAAATGTGATTTTTCTTTATAATGGTTCCTTAAGTATTTTAAATTAGTTGCTGAACAGGGCAAAGGCGGTATCACTAACTTCAGGTCCTACACTGTCTTTTACTGTCTTTGCAGCAAGTGACACTTGGTAAAATCAGTTTAGTCCTTAGTACAAACCATAACTACACATGCATATATTTACAAGGACATTAATTTCTGTGTGTGCTGGAGTGATACAGTGGCCTTGTCAGCACTCAACACTGACTGCGGAAATGACTCATCCATGTCTGCACAGACTCTCATCATCGACCCTTGGCTAGGGCTGGCCCCCTCCTCAGGATGCCTCCATCTCCCTCAGACCCACCTCGACTGCCTGATGGCATCTGCACAGCATCCTCCCTTCTCTGTCTTCTCACCCCCATGGTGCAAATAAACTAAACCTCATACAACACTATCCTGGAGGAGGACTGATGACTTTTCTCAAGTCTTACTCTGTGTTAAGTCTAAAGACAACCAGGAAAGAAAAAGAAAAACTGAAAATGAAGAAAACTACCCCCACTCTCTCTAGGAATTGGGATGGCCTGTGGCACTTTCCTGGCCCCTGAGATGTCACAAGTGATCAGGAGGAGGGTTTTGGAAAGTACTTTATAGGGGGCAAAGCAGCCAGCAGCACCTTTCCCCTTCTGTATGGGATGTGGAGGTGACAGAAATGCTCACAGAGTCACTTTGTGTTCCTGAAGAAAAGGAAGTGAAATGTGAGAGCCAAGGCCTCTGTTGACAACCGGGAGAGCTGAGGAGAGTCCATGCTGCTGGCTGGAGGCTTCTTTTCAGGGAAACTATAAACCACTAAGTCATCTCAGGGTGTTGTCTGGATTTCCTTTCACACTCATTAGATTTTTGTATTTTTCTCAGTTTAACTCATTTTCTACCTGACAGGCCTTGGCCCTGGGCTCAGGCTTGTAGGCTCCTCACCTCCATCTGTCTACCCATCCCCACTCCACTGTGCAGAGGCCTGTCTTCCCTGATGCACAGGGCTCCACATCAGCAGACCCAGGAGTCACCTGACTGTACCAGGCTCTGCAGTGCCTCTGCAGGGAAAGCACAACACAGGAGAGCGTGCTGTCCTCTGTGAGCTGTTACTCTGGCCTCAGCAAAGCTGACAATGACGCTCCACACAAACACAACGTTTTCAGTGTGATCTAGTGTATTATAGACAGAGGATGAAGCTTACACTTTATCAAATCAAATATTAATTATTAAAGTTGTTGATAACTTCAAACACTGCTATCCATACAAGGCATTATAAACTGAAAAGGAGGTTATCAGAATAACTTATATTTTAAACAAAAATGAGAATTATTACCATACTCACAGCGCCACCTTTCCCACGATTCTGTACCAGTGTTATCACTTGGACTTTGTCACTTCTGTATTTCTGGCAGTATTTTAAAGTGACCTGTTGCTGACATAAAAGTGTGGGAGCCCGTTTTCAGGTTCCTTGTGGCTTTACCCAGCAGGTCCGTGTAGAGAGGATGATTAGGACCACGGGCCTGAGTGCAGGTGTCTGAGATGGTCTGCACTTGGCTGTGCTGGGGGGAGGTCTTTTGCTTCACCCCTTGGCGTCTCTATAAATACCCTGGGGCAGAGACAGTTGGGCCGTTGGAATAGGTTCCAGGCCCTCTCGAGGCTATCCTTTATTTTCTATCTGTTTATCTCCACAATCTAAATCCTTCTATCTAATATTTCCTGTTACTTGCACTCAAGAAAACTCTGGGGAACTGTGGGGTTGGTGGGTAAACACCCCGCATAAAAGTCAGAATACGGTTAGCTTGGAGAACTGATGTCACGGATATGAGTTATCCCAATGTGATCAGAACATGTTACATGCATGTACTGAAATGCCACATTGTGCCCCATATGCATGTACAATTACCATCTGTCAGTCAAGATACACATAATCAATATAAACAGAAAAGTACACATAATCAATATAAACAGAAAGGTGAGCAATAACTCAGATTCCACAAGTCAAACAGACTTGGGGTTTTTTACTCAGCAGAGACACCACCAAGGCAGCTCACCCTTCTTGTGACAGCTTGGCCTTGGCATTTCAATGGGGGATTGTGTTGAGTGTTAATTGACATTGGAAGACACAGCCCACTGTGGGTGGCACCATTCTCTAGGTCTGAACACTATATGACCGAAGAAAGCTAGCAGGCAGACAGGCAGTGTGGGTACACTTGTTCCTCTCTGCCCCCAACTATCGGAATTTTTCCAGGGGCCTGCCTTAAGAAGATTCCTCCCAGGGTCCTGGGGAAGATGCTATGGCCGGCATGGGGCTATTCTGAGGGAAAATAATCTAAGTATACCGGGCTCTTTTGTCCATCCACTTTATTTATTTAAGACAATTTTTTTTAATGCCGAATGCCATTTATTGAAGGAGGGAGGAAGTCTTAAATACAGGCTTACAGCACAATGGGAGAACCCCGGAGGGCAGAAGTTCGCTACCAATGTTTTACAATCTTGCATCTAAGCTGTTAATGCCCATTATGCAGGATACACAGACAAGGAACTTCCCTTAAGCATTCAGGAGGGTGGAAACTGGCAGGGAATTAGCATAGGGAGGATATCAAGGTCAAGGTCAGCAAGCAAGGCAACAGTTACCCAAAACGGGGGCTAGGGCCCTACAGGTCTCCCTTTTACTAAAAATGAGCTTCTGACTTAGGTTTCGTGGAACATCAGCAGGTCACCTTACCCGTCATGGAGATGCCTGCCCAGGCCACACAGGTGCTCTGTCTTAGGTTGGTGAGCACTCCCCAGGCCTTACTCATCTCTGAATACTCATTATCATACAGGCTCAATCGTGTGTGAGCTGCAGAGTTAACTGCTGCCAAAGATCTCAAAGTGGCGCTTGAGATCATTGGCTACTTTATTTATCTAAGACAGAATTCTATCTACATAGCTTCAGTTCCATTCTGACACTCGGTTTCTCTGTGTCCCTTCTTTCTCTGTCCTCTCATAGCCCTAAGTAAGCTCTTCTGCTATCAGTCTCATCTTTGTCCTCTTCCTCTGTCCCCCATTGTTCCTTCCTCTCCTCCTCTCCTGACCTGATTCGGATCCACCTACAGTCTGCAAAAACCTTTTCTGGCTCCTTACTCCTCGGCCCAAGCCACTCTCACCCTACCAGCTATAGAAACTGTGACTTATTTTCTTCTTTCCGGCCAAGGGACTCTGCCCCGACCAGGAATTCTGCCCCAGCCTTCACTGCACCTGGTTACACAAAAACCCTTTTGTCCTGAGTCAATAGCTCTGGAATACCACTAGGCCTGAATGAAAAGGATGGTCTGAACTTCATTTGCACAAGACACAAAGTTATGCATCCACATACCTGCCTGTCTCCTAGGCTCTGTAGGGGTGTTACCTAGTTCAGATCAGCAGTAGGTCTGAGAAGCTTATACTGTTTGCCATTAAGGCCTATTAGTATATGAGCACACACGAAATTCATAGCAGAAGACAGCTGATATATTAAAAGCTGAATATCATCGAATATTCCTTGATATTTGACTTTCCTCTAGAAGAATTCCTTGAACCTTCTAGGTATAGCTTTATTATATACAGCTGATTCTCTATTTCATATATTTGTGACCTGCAGCACCCAACTGTGAGTGTGATGTGACCAGCTGACTCACACTCCTGCCTCTATGACTTCCATCACTGAGCTCTGAGTTCAGGGCTTAGAAACTCCTTGCCCCCAACTGTACAGAAAGCAAAGGGGCACTTCTTATTTGCTATGACCAACAGGAAAGTGAGGCACCCTTCTTGACCAAGAAACACCCCAGATCAGGACTCGGATTGAAATGAAGTCTAGTCTTCACTGCAGTTTTCTTTTTCTTTTTTCTTCTTCTTTTTTTTTTTCAAAACAGGGTTTTTTCATGTTGTTTTGGTGGCTGTCCTGAATTTCACAGAGATCTGCCTGGCTCCGCCTCCTGGGTGCTGGAATTAAAGGCATGTGCCACCACCACCCGCTGGAGTTTTCTTACTGTGTCTATTTCAATTCAAAGTAGTCAAGCTTCCTAGTGTGTTCCTCAAACCTGTGACTAGGAGCTTGTATAATAATTCCATTCATGATATTTATAGTGGATGGTAAGACTTACTATGGGACTAAGACATTGGCATTTAGAGGGAGGGCCTCATGGAACAGAAAAGATCCAGTAAGAGACCTGCTCTTATTCACTCATTGGATATTGATGAAGGCAACACAGTGATTCAGTGGGGAAAGTAAAGTTTGTTCAATAGAAGAAGGGAGGGGAGAAAGAGGAAGGGAGGGAAGGAAAGAAGGAAGAGAAATGTAAAAGGGGGAAATTTTGAGGAAAGCTGGTTATTTATATGAAAAGGGAAAATCATACTTTACCACTTACCATAAACACAACTCAATTCAAGATGAATAATAGACTTAGTAAAAATTAAAACTCTACTTTTAAGCTGGGGTGTGGTGCTGTACGCCTTTAACCCCAGCACTCTGAAGGCAGAGGCAAATGGATCTCTGTGAGTTCGAGGCCAGCCTGGTCTACAAAGCAAGTTCTAGGACAGCCAGGGCTACACAGAGAAACCCTGTCTCAAAAAAACCCAAAAACACAAACAAAGCAAACAGACAAAAAACTATACTTCTAGCGTAGAAGAAAATACAGCAGAATATTTTTGGTAACCTGGGAGAGGGGAGGGTAGAAAACTGTCTCCTAAAGAGGACACAGAAAGCAATGAACAAAAAGTGAATAAATGAAAAGCTTCAAAATTAAAAATACGCCTTTAAAATATTTCCAACTAAAACCATATAACCACAGGTGGGAGAAAATATTTATAAAGAATGTGTCTGCTAGAAGAATATGTCTGGGACATTCTTACAATTCCTACAATTCCACACAACAGCCCAAACAGGGAACTTGGAGACAACATATTTTACTCAAACTTCAAATGTAACAGAAGAATTATTTAATGATTTTGAAAGGTAACATTCATTAGTATATAAACTTGTGAATTAAAAGGGAAATCATATAAAAATCAACACCTCTTTCCTTTATTAACCATATCCTAATTAATACAACAGTTTAGATAATAATGAGTAACTAAAAATCACACAAAAAATGAATTACATGTAATTATTTTTTTATTTCACAACCTTAAAAAATATAATCCATTAGGTATTTTGAAAAACATACACAAAATAATCATTTGGAATTTACAATATTAAAAAGTGAACGAAAATGGGCCACACTGCACAAGACAAAGTGACCTCTGTTGGGAGCATGGACGGGGGTCAAGGGCACATGGTGGATCAGAACTGCCATTTTTTCCAGGGTCGCTGGTCACTAAAACCCATCCCATTTGGTCCAAGAAGACATGCAATAGGTAGAGGGTAACATTTTTAATTTAGTTCCAACACACTAATTTTCCTTTTCCTCAAGGAGACAAACTCAATGCAAGAAGAGCAGTGAAGCCCATGGATGTGGAGCACGTGGCTGGCTGCCACCTCCCCCTCTAACTCTAAAACACCCAAGAAAGAGAATGGGATGAACAGTACATACAAAAGCCACCATCCCCATGTGGCTGTCTCAGGAGAAATTAAGTAAAATTTAAACCCTGCTAGCCATATTTCAGTGTTTACTAGACACATGTGACTAGTAGTTGCTGTATTGGGCATCACAGATATAGAACAGTTCCATATCACAGAAAGTTCTTTTGCACAGCTCTGGGTGTGGGAAGTGTTTCTTCTCCCTCTGCTTGGCCAGTACGTAGGCTGTGAGTAGAAGCAGCTCAAGAGGCGATCTCCCAGGATATTCCTAGATTGAGAGTGGAGTCTCAGAAGGAAGAGAGGTAGCGTTTCTGAGCACAGAGTGCCTTTTCTTCTGTGTATGAAAGGGATGGCCTTTATGGGGATCAAATACACAAACTTGGTTACCACCAAAATTTAATGAACATGAAAATGATGGGGCAGACCAAAAAGGAGCAAAAGAAAACAACTCATTTTGATCCCACACCAAAGCTCCACGAGGAGATGGTGAAGACCCCACTACACACACAAACACAAATGTGCAGGCTCCCAGGATACTTGATTCGAGGCTCCTGGTGCAGGGGAAGTCAGCTGCCCAGAGAGAAGCCAGACCTGACAAGCATTTCCTGAGAACTAAGGAGACATCGTCACTCTGCTCAGCCATATCACCTGGAGGTGTGTTCTCACGCCACACAAGGTGGGAGGGAGGAAACCTTAAGTTTCACCTTTCTTGAACATTATGCTTCTGCACAACTGTACTTTGTAACCAGGGCATAGACTTCTGGTTGTCCACCCAAGATTCACCCCCATTGTTCTTATCTAAAGAGCTCGGATTTTAGTTAAAGACAACAACTGTATCATTAAAGAACCCTACAGAGGACAGTGGCCATTGACATAGCTTTAGCCTGTGTTTCTGGCTGTGGAGAAGCTCTTTAGAAAGATGTGGATTCAGACTGGCACATTCTGTTTTTCCTCCTGGCTTCCTTCTCCTTGTGGGGAGCCATGGAGACCATATCAGAACCTGGAAAAACCATCACTGCCTCATATTAAGTGTGACATGAAAAAACCACAAGACCTCTAATTGGTTCAAGTCCCTGCTTAGTAACTTCCTACTTCATTGAAATAGCAATCCGTCCTGATTCTCAACTGAGAGTACAATTTCTTCCTATAGTAAAACAATTTTGTCTAAAGAGCCTGGACCTATGCAATAAATTCCAGTAACTTTGGAACGTTAATGCCAGCAAAGCAAAGGTTGAGTGTTGAGTGTAGAGCTTATTCACTTGGACCCATCTGCTTATTCTGGATCTGTGAGACAGGCCAAGAACAGCAGAAGTGAGCAGGGCCCTTAACCAAAGAATCTGCTGTTGCAAATCACAGGAGGGATTTTTAGCTTGATCCAGGAGGAGCTTTTTCCCTGTTGTCACATTATAATTTCTTTCCAAACATAGGGTGCCTTTCTCGTTTTCCAGCTTCCTATTTGGTAAAATGCTTACTATTCAGACAACTAGACTAGCTTTTAATCTGAGTCCTTATTTATTTATGTAAACAAAATAATAATTGGATATTTGAAGAATTTGTATAACTGATTCAAGCAAAAAACAAAACAAACAAAAACCCAGTAATACATCTACCACTTAACTTGCCCTTGTATGTAATACAGATACCTGACTAATTCTAAAGATCTTAGAGCTTTAATTGCAGACTCTGTTTAGATAAGAACAAATAACACAGGCTATCTGCAAGTTATTTTGAAAGTATAGAACTCTGCAGATACTTTCTACATTCTGCATTAGTATAACTAGAATTCTAAAAGTCTCTAAATCATGACTTATGGGGGGGAGGGGGAGGACATTTCCCACTATCCTTAAATGGCTTAACCATTCATAATGCTCAAAATTCTCATCATTTATAATTGAATTCTAGCGCACTTAGTCTGAAACTAGGCAGAACTGGGAACATAGAATGTCACATTAAAAATAGGGTGCTGCGTGTTTTTTGCATACCTTGTTCCAAGTTTCCACCTCTGCAATGAACCAAAAACAAATCCTTTCCTCCCCAGAAGCCCGTGCACAGGGAGAACTCTGGGAGAATCCCCCATGCTGGAGGACTGCACCAGATGGCATCAGGCCCACAGCCACGCCTGTGCCCTGCAATTGACATACAGGCATGGGGAACTACTTTATCAGACATTTTAAATTTTGCAAATGGGAATGTGACATCATTCTCATTCAACTTAAAATGATCTTCTCTAGTCAGAATTGTAAATTCATTGTGATTACAAGTTTGGAAATTAGCAAACAACCAAGATTGTCCTAATAAGATGTGAAGTCATCTTAAACAACTAAAATTTAGACCTAATTACTAAATAGCAAATTTGTCTTCTAACCTTTGTGAAGTCTTTTTGTTGAAAAGGAAACAATAATATTGCATAATAAAATTATACTTACAAAATGAGCAGTTATTTTAAATGTTCCTGACTTACCAAATGCTTTAGTGCTAATACATATTTACCTCATCTTTCAAAATATTATTGGCCAGGCATGGTGGTACATCCTCATCAGGAGGATGAACCAGGCAGCTGGTGTGTTCCAGGGCAGCCTGGACTTTATAGTGAGACCCTATCTTATTCATACATATAGTAGAATTCAGGGTTATTAGGACCAGGGTGTGGTCAATGAATTGAGTAAACCATACATGCAGAAGTATTGTGGATGCCGGCACATTAGATCTAGTTCAAATGTGGTTTTTTTGTTTTTTTTTTTTTTTTGAGCCAAGCATAGTGGCACATGCCTGTTATACCAGAATTGAGAGTCAGGTGCAGAATGACAAGTTCAAGGTCAATTTGGCCTCCAAAGCAAGTTCAGGCCAGCTCAGGCTACACAGCTAGACTCTGACTCAAGAAAACAAATGAACAAAAAGTATCTCTACTTTGGGAGATCAGTTTTGTGCTAGGTCTTGGAAAATGGTGATTAGATAAAAGAATTAGAAAAGGCAATTCTTCTACAGATGTTGAATTTTCAAAGGCAGAATTTCTAACCAGAGGGCAGGGCAGAAGATGCCACCAACACATTCTGAGAGCAGATGTGAGGAATCTTAACTCCTGTTTTAGAAATAAGTTCCAGGTAAAAGTCAGGTGAGAAGAATAAATATCCTGGGCAGGGCTACATAAATGACTTAGTGCAGTGGTAATAGGAAGGAGGTCACTCAGCCAGGCGGCAGTGGCACATGCCTTTAATCCCAGCACTTGGGAGGCAAAGGCATGTGGATCTCTGTGAGTTCAAGGCCAGCCTGGGCTACAGAATGAGTTCCAGGACAAGTTTTCTATTCTCTCCAAGCAATGAAAAGTTGCAGTGGATTACACTGCTGGACCCCAGGACCCCAGGACTGTCAGCAGGGTGAAAAGATTACAAAATCAAGAAGCCAAACTGGTGGTTAAAATAATTTATATTCTGATTATTTACAAAGTATGAAATGATCATTTTTTGTCCTTATAAACAACCATAATTGCTCGTTAGTCACTCCCACGTTCATTGTCCATGTTCAGATTAACCATGCAGCCCTGTAACAAGACATCTCTGCATAGATGTCAGCTAATTAGAGGACTATTGTTCAAATCACAATGCAGATTCACGGCTGCTAAGTTTGGAATTCAGGCTGGAAATGGAAATCAAGCCTCACTATCCCTCTGATAAAGATGTGATAGGGAGACAAGAATTTACCCAAGAAATAATAGCTAAAACAAACCATTGTCTTCATTTAAAACTAGCTTTATTGTGTCAGAATGACATAGAATATGTAGGAAATCAACTTATTGTCTCCAGCCAAAATCATTTCTGGTAGTTACCCACTTAAATTATCAACTGTTCTCTTCTGCGTAGCTTCTGTATTATCAGCCTAGGCAAAATTTGATGTTGTGGGTTTTAACTCTCCATAGACTGTGTGCTTGAAGTGAGTGTATGTGTGTGTAAAATTAGTGTTTCCATGGCATAGTGTGTCCCATCCTGAGAAGATTAACCCCAAACCTTTCCGACTGAAGACAAATCATATTTGCACCTCTGTGCTATTTTCAAAAAAGAGGGGAGTCATTAGCAAATTTGCAAATGTTCCTGGCTTCTTTTTCTAACTCGCACAAGCCCCAATCTTTTCTTTGACTTTTGCAAAGGTTCAGACAAATCCTTCCTTGGCTTCTTGGTTCTGGAGGAAGCTCTCCAATTAAGAGCAGAAAACCCTCACCCTCCAGGCACCTGTTTCTTGCATCCTGATACTTCTCTTTGATAGGCCCTGGATCTTCAGACACTCAGCCAGAGTGAGAGGCCCCAACATACCTTTTGCAAGAAGAATTCCGCCACCCACTGTCCAGCTTTGCGGGGGTTCCCAGGCTGTGATCAGAGTTTGGTCCTGGGTGCCACCAGTCAAAGGCGCCAGCCTGGGTCCCGATGACGTAGATCTAGGAAAAGCGATCAGATAGGATGAATGAAATTATGTCTCGAACTAACATTGGTCTTGTTTCGAGTGCACAGGTGGATTTTACTCTTGATGGTCAGCCTTTCCCAAGATGTCTGATATATTAACCACAAACAGGCCTCTCTCTCTTCCTTTCTGCTAGCCTGCCCTCCATCCAAAGGTCATTTCCCAGGGAATCATTCTCATAATCACCCTCTGCTGTCCCAGGATCTAAACCCACCTTTGACAAGCCCGAAGACTAGACTAGGAATAGCAATCAAAAGTAGGAGAAAATCCACCTCCCCGCCCCCAAACAAGTCACTGAATCATTTCTCCTGGGCACCACCTTTGAAACTGCCCTCAAAGCAAAGCTCACACTCTTTAGTAATTTAGATAATTTTGTTGGAAGTGGCTGAACTGAGTTGACTGAATAATAGAATTTTCCACCCTTAGATACAAATGCAGTTGGTCTGCCAGGAAGAGTTCGCAGGTGTGCATACCATTCTCGCCCCCAAACTGACCTCTGCGGGTCTCCCCTCCCAGGATCAGGCTTGCTCTAGAAGAACTTGGCTCCGGGGTCAGACTCCTGTTCCCGCGGTCCCCTGCCCTGAGTGGGTCCGGAGACCGAGGAGGAGCAGAAAGTGTGTCCCCCTGCTGCCGCTCCCAAGGTGTGTACCTGGATCCCCGCGGAACTGAGACCAGCTCAGCGCTGGATCACACCGCTTGCTCGTTATTGAAACCCCACGGCTCCCGGTGCAGTGACAGGCGCCCGGGCTGCAGCGTCCCGGCCGTGTTGGCCACCGAGTTCTTCAGCTGCTTGATGACCACGAAGAGCAGGAGAAACAGGAGGAAAAGCAGGAAGAAGAAGAGCGCCAGGTAGAGCAGCAAATTCAGCTCCCACTCCATTCTGGGCGCTGCCCGGGAGGTGCGCGCTGCTTTTGGCTCGGCGAGCTCGCCCCCGGGTCCGCTGCTATCTGCCTGGCCTCCGCGGCTCCCCAGGAGCGCAGGGACCCCCGGAGCAGATCTGCGAGCGCCGCGGAGCTTCTTCTGCGTGGAGATACCAGCTAGCTTCTCCAGAGCGAACTTCAGCGGGTGGAGACACGAGAAACCGCCCAGTGTTCCCAGTGTTCCCGGGTGTCTGCAGCTGGCTCCCTGCAGGTGTTCTTAAGACTCCCATTGGAGACAGCCAGTGGAGCCCCTGTCCCCTCCCTTCATAATTAATGTCCTTCATAGTGTGTACCACTCGCACCTTTCCAAAAGAGATACACAAAATTAAAGGTGGCTGAAAGTACCATGGGAAGGTTGGGAGATACTCTTTGCTGTGAGGTGAACTATGGATGCATCCACAGTTCCACTTCAAGCTGCCTCGCCCGTTAGAATTTCAGAGGCCATGCAAGACTGTATTTTTCTCCTCTGCGCTATAGGTCTTTACAGAAACACTAACAGTAAACTGCATTTCAAATGTCGTATTTTACAAAAGCTTTCTGTTGTTGGCTTGAAATTCAGTTTCTTTTGGTGAAAAGAAAAACAAAAAGTCTTCTGTGAGACCCCACCCCAACATCAGACAGCCAAGGGAAAAGAAGAAGTGGCAGGGTCCAGGGACAACACACACTCTTCAAAGCCACGCCCCGTGGTTTAGTGTTTCTAACCAAATCCACTTCTTGAGAGCTCATTCTGGCCTGAATTTATCAATGGATTCATCCATCCATCGATGAAGTTTGTGTCCTCATGATCCAGTCACCTCTCAATTGCCACTACCAGCTGAGGACCACTCCCTCAGCACAGGACACTTTTGAAGGACACTTTACACCCAAATCATAATATTGTGCAACTAGGTACCCCAAAACTCAGTGGCTGAAAACAGCAAGAATGTTGGTAATTCCTCCAGTCATCTGTCAGTCAAGAATTTGAGAGTATTTTAGTCAGGTGTGGTGGCTGGCACACACCTATAATCCCAGCATTTTGGGGTCTGAGGCAGGAGGAGCATGAGTTTGAGTTTAGCTGGAACTACAAAGCAAGTTTTAGGTAAACTTGACCTATAGTGAAATCCCCCCCTCCCCCGTGTGTGTGTGTGTGTGTGTGTGTGTGTGTGTGTGTGTGTTACTTAATCTGGGTGATTCTAGCTTGGAACTTCTCAAATGCTGTGTTATTTGAGGACTGACCTGCAGCCAGGTTCCCCTTATAGGACAGATAACTCACAGCTCCAGGGAGCAGTGCTGGTTGTTGGTGGGAAACCTCAGTCCCTTCAAACCGGGCTTCTCCATAGGCCTCCGTAGCCATGTGTCTGGTACAACAGGTCAGGCTAGGCAGAGGCTTCAGGGCCACTGCATATTAGCTGCAGAAGTCACATGTCATCATGTCTGCAAAGTCCTAATGGTTAAACAGCTCAGTTTCCTGGGATCCAGGGACAGGAACATCAGAGCTTCCTGGAGGCCTTCAAGTCTGGCTATCACCAAAGTTTGCCCAGGTCATCTCAGGCCTCCAGCTTTATTTCATTCTTTATTTGTAAAGCTATGAGAGCTGCCAAGCCTGAGACTAAGGCCTGACAAACATACCAAATGATGGGATGGGTTGAGCACAGTATGTGACTGTTTCAATGACACCAGAGTTCACACAGACAGGAGGGTAGGAGTAAACTGGAGGTCAGAGGACTCAGTTCTAGTCCTAGCTCTGCCTGGCAATGGTTAATGCTTCCCTGGTCTCTCTGTTCCCTTTGCCCTTGGATATGCTATGAGGATCAAAATGATTGGGATGTTAACAATTTATTTTCTATATATAATATCAGGTACCAATACTCTGGTTTTTTAGGATCTCCAATATTACAGGCTACTGTTAAAATTTTACAAGTATTTGCTTCAAGCATCTTAGTGGGTACAGAGTCAATCAACAAATAGGTAGGTAGGTAGATTGATAGACAGACAGACAGATGACAGACAGATAGATGATACATAATTGTGATCGACCACTATCTCTGTCTCTTTGTCTCACTATCTGTCTCTCTTTCTCTTTGTGTATACATGTATATTTATATCGACCTACTTCATAACAGGGCTATGTTGGCACTGGCTCCTAGGAATTATTGTTAAATGTTTCAAGAAAATTACTAAAATACAACTATTATTAGAAATTACCTCATATAAATTAATAATGTTAACAACAAACAAATACATACTCAAGCCTCATCCTCCCATTGATTTTTCCATCTATCTCCATCATCAATGCATTTATGATGTGTCTGTTGCTGCTGTCAGATGGGCAAATACATGCTCCTGCTTGTTTCTTCCTAACCATGCTTGCTCAATGAAGGTATTGTCTTAGTTGGGGTTTCTATTTCTGTGATGAAACACCGTGACCGAAAGTAACTTGGGTAAGAAAGGGTTTATTTGACTTATATTACCATATCACTGTTTATCACTGGAGGAAGTCAGGACAGGAATTCAAACAGGGCAGAAACAGAGTTCGCCCCCAGGAAATGGACCAATGCTACAAATCAGGACCAGGGCCAGTTAGTGTTATCTAATCAACCACTGTCGCAAGGCTACTAAGGAGTCTGAATTCTTACCCACGTTTAACAGAGTTCTGACTTCCCAGAATCCCAGCTGGGAAGCACCACATGTTCCTCTGGGTAGATTTCTCTGTTTTACCTAATCTTGGCAAGAGAACAGATCCCCAAACCATGCTTCCGTTGCTTCATCCTATTATGGAAACCTGGGTAGCAGATATAGTTTCTACCCGACTCTGAAACAGTGCAGAGAGAAGGGCATGAAGAGTCATGCTAGAAACACAACTAAATATCCTTCATGACAGACTCAAACTTGGAAATGGACAGACTGGGGACAATGATTGGAGAGGTTCGCATGTCCACTCTGAGGTCCACTGAGAGTAAGAAGAGTCCAGGGTCAGGGCTTGGTTCCTTCGGCCCACTTCCACAGCAGCCCTGACTCCTGGCCCTTCCCAACTGGGCCCTCTGCCTTGTTTCCATTTTGTAAGCTGCCAGGTACTTCAGAGATTTCACTCTTGCAGTTAGTTGAGGTGGTTAAAGAGAAGCATGCTGACTGACATGAAATGCATTGCTTACACACTTCTCACAAGACAAGCACCATAATCAACAAGGTGTTTGATAGAAAAATAATATGCCAGCTAGGCTTCTGTCTTAGGGTCTCTATTGTTGTGAAGAGACACCATGACCACAGCAACACTTATAAAGAAAACATTTAATTAGGGTGGCTTGCTTACAGTTTCAGAGGTTCAGTCCATTATCATCATGACTGGGAAGATGTCAGTGTGCAGGCAGACAAGGTGCTGGAGCTGAGAGTGCTACATCTTACAGGCAGCAGGAAGTCAATTGAGACATGGTATCCTGAGCATAGGAAACCTCAGAGCCAACCCCCACAGTGACACACTTCCTCCAACAAGGCCACACCACTCCAACAAAGCCACACCTCCTAATAGTGCAGATTATGGGTGCAATTACATTCAAACTACCACAACACCTAATGGCTTTAAAAATTGAAATTGAAGAATGGAAAGAGATTCCATGACCTGATTATTTCTTCCATGTTTCCTTGGATGCAGTTAACCTCTTTAGGTTGGAGTTGGTGCTAGCACCTTCTGTTGGACTGTATTTGTAGGTATATAGATAGATATTGCTTAAATTAGTTTTATCATGGAATGTCTTATTTTCTCCATGTATAGTAATTGAAAGTTTTGCAGGGTATAGTAGTCTGTGTGGGCATCTGTGTTCCCTTAGAGTCTGTAGCACATCTGTCCAGGCCCTTCTGGCTTTTAGAGTCTCCATTGAGAAGTTAGGCATTATTCTAATAGGTCTGCCTTTATATGTTACTGGTCCTTTTCCCTTGCAGCTTTCAGTATTCTTTCTTTGTTCTGAGCATTTAGTGTTTTGATTATTGTGTGTGGTTGATACATTGTGCACCCCAATAAACTTATCTGGGGGTCAGAGAACAGAACAGTCACTATATTAAACATAGGTTTAGGCAGTGGTAGCACACACCTTTAATCCTAGCATTCAGGAGGCAGAGATCCTCTGGATCTCTGTGAGCTCAAGGCCACACTGCAAACAGAGCCAGATGTGGTGGCACACACCTTTAATCCCAGCACTTGAGATCCCATGTCTTGCTTAGGAAAGACACACACCTTTATCCCAGGAAGTGATGGTAGGAAGCAGGAAGGTATACAAGGCGTGAGGACCAGGAACTAGAGGCTTTTTAACCTTTTTAGGCTTTTGAGCAGCAATTCAGCTGAGATCCATTCGGGTGAGGACTCAGAGGTTTCCAGTTTGAGGAAACAAAATCAGCTGAGAAGTTGGCAAGGTGAGGTTGGATGTGGCTTGTTCTGCTTCTCTGATCCTCGGGGTGTGGAGGTAGGGTGGGAGGACCAAGAATAATTCTGGAGAGGCCAGAATGGAGAGCAGGAAGGATAGTGAAAACCACTTACCAGCATCCCAGCCCAGTGGCCACCGGGGGTCCCTGGTAGAGAGTGTTTCTGGGATCAACATTTGACCCAAAGGAATGCTGATGAGCTAGAATGGAAGGCAAGGCAGAAAGAGCTAAGGGGACCCTAGGTCTGCTCCAAGAGCTGGAGTCCCCAGGACTGGAGGTAGAGGAGGATGGGATGCCGCCAGAGACAGGTTGCAGTAGAACAAAGAAGAAGTCTGGCAAGACCAGGCTGAAAGTGCAGGGGACCCTTCCCTGGAGACCTTGAAGGCTGAGGTGGATGTGGTGATGCACACTAGGGATCCCAGAATTTGAGAGGGCAGGGCAGGAGGCTCAGAAATTCAAAACCGCCTAGGTTGCATAAGACTCTGCCTCAGGAAAAAAAAATCTTGAAGGTCAAAACTTCAAGTGAGTAAGTATTCTCCTGAAGAATGTTCTGGAAAGAGGCTGAAGGATAAAGGTTTTATGCTGCCATGCTCAGATTCACTTCTACTTAGATTACCCATTATCTCAGCAGCTTAAATGAATTTATAAATATTAATAAATACTTTATCCACTCTCAACAGACTTTGCATTTAAACTAACTTTATTGCTGCAAGAATAGCATTACATAGCCGGGCAGTGGTGGTGCACGCCTTTAATCCCACTCGGAAAGCATAGGCAGGTGGATCTTTGTGAGTTCGAGGCCAGCCTGGTCTACAAAGCGAGTTCCAGGAAAGACGCAAAGCTACACAGAGAAACCCTGTCTTGGGAAAAAAAAAAAAGAATGGCATTACGTTTATCCCATGTTCCCAGTATGTTTAGCTGTCATAGTATTTTATACTCTTAAGTCTCAAACCCTGGGCCAAGTGGCTGAGATGCCCATTTAACCTAGCAAAGTGGACCTAGCTGCCAGGTTCTCCCAGCATCCCTCAGTCCTTACTTGTTACTAGGTATGACTGGCATATTCTGTCCTCCACCCTAAACTTCTCCAGCCCAGGGGCTGGGCTGACCTTCCCCCAGAGGCTCTTCCCATATAGTCCAGCCATTTTGGTTACCCATGCT